GAAATTCCTGGAGGCCAGTGTGGCCACCACGAGCCGTGAGGAGGCTCTGGACAAAGCCTACGAGGAAATTGAACGGAACCTGATTGTAAGTCAAGTTTGAACCTTTGAACGTGCTTCTAGGGAACCAGACCTCTCCGAGGGGAAGTTATTTGGGGTGAGATCTCCTCAGGCTTTAGAACCACACCAAACGCTTCTGTTTCTGGTGTGCTTCCAGCTGCTTGGAGCAACAGCAATAGAAGACAAGCTCCAGGATGGAGTTCCAGAGACTATTGCCAGGCTTTCCAAAGCAGACATCAAAATCTGGGTGCTCACCGGTGACAAAAAAGGTGGCGTTTCATCCTAAAAGCAGGATAAGTTGGGACAACACAAGAGGGAGCCCAGAGATGCTCTCTGGAGCCAGGCTGAGAGAGCTGGGCTGGTCCAGGCTGGGAAAGGCTGACTCCTGACTCAACTCTGGCCTAAATCCTTGCCTCTGACTGCTTTCCACTGCAGAAACTGCTGAAAACATTGGATTTTCCTGTGAGCTCCTAACAGATGAAACCACCATCTGCTACGGAGAAGACACCAGGCAAGTGGGGAGCCCAGGGAAAACCAGTCCCTGGATAACATTATCCCTGCGCTTTGGTCCCCTCGGGACTCCAGGCCTGGGCTGAGCTAAGCAGGTCTCTCCCTAGTGCACAGCTTGAGTAGCAGCCCAGATTTGCTCTCACTGTGTGTCCCTGAACTTCGGGGTTATCCCAGCTATTCCTCCAGCTCATCCCATGTTCCTGCACACAGCACAGACCTATGCCATAAGCCCAGAAACTCAGCCATACGGAAATGGTTAATCCCAAGGGAAAGCAACGTAGGACTGGGAGAAATGGAGCTCTGTAACAGTGTCACAGCTATTCCTGACTCATTTTCCCAGAGTTTTCCTTATTGGCAAACCTCTTGTAGCACTGCTTAGACCATCACCTAATACATGGCAACAGAAGTCCTTGCAGCATCTGTTTCTTGTAGATTTTGAGGCTGGGACTGATCCAGCTTCAAGTTTATCCCTGTTTTTCCTCTATCCAGTGCTCTTCTTCAAACAAGGCTGGAAAACCAGAGGAACACGGCTGGATCCAGTGCACATTCCTCACTGAGAATGAATGAGCCCTTCTTCCAAGGCAGTGGGGATCGTGCTTTAATAATCACTGGCTCCTGGTTGGTATGTACCAGAGGCGTTCTCCTGCCTGTTTAGGGCAGTGCTGGATGGACTTGAAGCTCTTTTCCAGCCTGGTTGCTCCCATGACTCCCTGATTTCCTTTGCTGTCACAGAACGAAATCCTGCTGGAGAAGAAGAAGAAGAAGAAGAAACTGAAGCTCAAGTTCCCCCGAACAGCAGAAGAGGAGAAGCAGCAAAGGGAGAAGAGGCAAAGGGCCGAGGCCTACAAAGAGCAGCAGCAGCAGAACTTTGTGGAGCTGGCCTGTGAGTGCAAGGCTGTGATCTGCTGCCGGGTGACTCCGAAGCAGAAGGCCATGGTGGTGGAGCTGGTGAAGAAGTACAAGAAAGCCATCACTCTGGCTATTGGGGATGGTGCCAATGACGTCAACATGATCAAAAGTAAGGCAGCTGCAAAGCTTCTCCTGATGGGAGAGAGCTCCTCTGGGCCTTCCTCTGCAGCCTCTTCACTATCGCTCTTTGAGAAGACTCCTCCATCTGTTTCACTTGAGCGCTTGGGCTCTGTTTGCTTCCATCTGTGCTTTCCCTCCTTGGGGAAGCCCTTCAGGAAATGGTTAGTGGGGCTTCCCGATGGATTCTGTGGACGTTCCCCGCGGAGGGACTTGAATTCTCTGGGGGTTACAAACAGGGAGCATAAAGAACGAATCCCAGTGGGAAAGCCAATTCTGGGCTCTGGGCTCCGCTGTGCAGAGCCCAGAACTGGTGGGAGATGTGCTCACGTTGTGGTGTGTGTTTCCTTCACGTAGCTGCTCACATTGGAGTTGGGATCAGTGGCCAGGAAGGGATGCAAGCTGTCATGTCCAGTGACTACTCCTTCGGGCAGTTCCGCTACCTCCAGAGGCTGCTGCTGGTCCACGGGCGCTGGTCCTACATCAGGATGTGCAAGTTCTTGAGATACTTCTTCTACAAGAACTTTGCTTTTACTCTGGTCCACATCTGGTATTCCTTCTTCAATGGCTTCTCTGCCCAGGTGAGGAGGTTTCTTGTGTGGAACAGCAAGAGGGAGCGTGGCACAGCAAAGCTTTAACCTGGGAAGCGATGGCACCCCGAAGCTGCCATCCATAGCTCCTGCAGGAAAATAGGTGCTTAGTTACACCTTGTATAGGTGCAGCAGGATTCGGGTTGGAAGGGCCCTCAGAGCTCCTCTGGTTCCAAGAGGAACACCTTCCACCTGGACAGGGTGCTCCCAGGAGGTCCATGTGTGCCGTTCCAGCAGGGTCCCAGCTCAGGTCACACAGCTGGCTTGGAAGGAGTAGGGCACCCTCACACAGAGCCTTGAGCTAAGGTGTCGAGGAAGCACGGGGCAGGTCACGTAAAGCTGGAGGAGAGCCCGTGTGAGCTCTCAGGAGCCACTGAGCTTCCTCCTCTCTCGCAGACGGCCTACGAAGACTGGTTCATCACGCTCTACAACGTCTTGTACTCCAGCCTCCCTGTGCTCCTCGTTGGATTGCTCGAGCAGGTATTGTCCAGGTGCTTGGAGCTGCATGGGCTCCAAGGGCCCTTCCAACCCAACCCGTCCCTCGAAGCTTACCCCAGGAAGTCGCTACAAGTTCTCTTTCTCTTACTCAGGACGTGAGCGACAAGCTGAGCCTCCGCTTCCCCAGGCTCTACGTGGTGGGCCAGAAGGATTTACTCTTCAACTACAAGAAGTTCTTCCTGAGTTTGCTTCACGGAGCTATCACCTCCTTGATCATCTTCTTCATCCCCTATGGGGCCTACCTGAAAACGATGGGGCAGGATGGAGAAGCGCCATCGGACTATCAGTCCTTTGCTGTCACAGCAGCCTCTTCTCTTATATTTGTGGTCAACTTCCAGGCAAGTCAGCTCAGTTTCCTCAGCTCTGGGCCTGCTTTTGGCTCCTCACGCCATGGCAGCGAGCAAAAAGCTGCTCTTTGAGGCCTTCTCCTCCCTACTGATGCTCCCTTTGCATCTGGTTGAGAGGTGACTCCGCCATGCTCAGAGGAGTTGCTCACGTGGAGCTCTGCTTTGCTTCCAGATTGGTTTGGATACATCCTACTGGACCTTTGTGAACGCCTTCTCCATGTTTGGGAGTATTGCACTTTACTTTGGCATCACCTTTGACTTCCACAGTGCTGGGATCCACGTTCTCTTCCCTTCTGGCTTTCAGTTCACTGGTGAGTCCTCGTGCTTCGTGGTTCCTGGTCCTGAACTGTGGCCCAAACGATGCTTTATTTGGGAGTACCCAATCAAAATGAGCTGGAATTGGGCAGTATCCAGCAGTTGGAGTCCACAAATAGGAACCAAAAGAGCTTGGGCATGAATTTCTTGTAGGAAAAGTGCCTTACAAACTCATTCCTCTTATAGTCTCCTCACAGTAGAGTCTGAATCAAAGCCTGATGTTGTGCTACACGACGCAATACCCGTCTGAGGTGTTTCACCCTCAGAAAACAAGCTGTGCCTTTTAGTGCCTTACTCGTGTGTTACACGCAGTCGAACGACCATGTCATACACTCATTTTTGCCTTGTTTATGCCTAGGCACTGCCCCGAACGCTCTGAGACAGCCCTACCTGTGGCTCACCATGGTTTTATCCATCGCTATCTGCTTACTGCCCATAGTGGCCCAGCGTTTCTTAGCCATGACAATCTGGCCTTCGGAAAGCGACAGAGTGAGCAAAGCGGGATCTTGCTTTGGTTAACGGGGCGCGGATTCACACACACGAGGGGGAACGGGGCGTGACATTAATGGAATTAGATTGGTTTGGCTTGAAGGGCCCTTTAAAGCTCACCCGGTTCCACTCGCCCAGGGTGCTCCGACACCGCCAGGGCTGGGGCAGCCCCAGCTTCTCCATTCCCACCACCCACCCCCACAGGGAGGCACCTCCCTCGGTCCCCGTCTCCCCCCGGCGCAGCTTAACCCCGTTCCCTCCACCCGCCGCCCCCCCGTGCTGCTCCCACCTGCCTCGCGATCCCTCGCGATCCGTGCCTGTGCTCCCCGCAGATCCTGAGGCACCGCCGGCAGCTGGCGGCAGACGAGCAGCTCTGGAAGCGGCGGCCGAGCGCCTTCCGCAGGGGAATATCGGCCCGGCGCTCCGCGTACGCCTTCTCGCACCAGCGCGGCTACGCGGACCTCATCGCCTCCGGGCGCAGCCTCCGGAAGAAGCGGGCTCCTCTGCCTGCCGTGCTGGGCCCCGGCGCCGCCAAGCACTGATCCCTGCCCCGCGGCCGATGCGCTCCGACCGAAGCAGCCGGCGTCGGGCCGGGCCGGGCCACGGGACCTGCTGCTTTCGGCCTCTTACGGAGCCCGTGCGGGCGAGGCCCGGCCCGGCCAGCGGCGCAGCCCCGCGCCGGGGATGGAATCCCAGCCGCCGGTCCCCGGCAGCCGCAGTTCACGTTGGCTCGGGCACAGCGGGCCGCCCTCCCCGCCCATCTCCGCGCCGAGCTCCGGCCGCTCGCCTCCTCGGCCAGGCGGCGGTGCCTATCCCGACTGCCCCGCGCCTCTCCCGAGCGCCGCGCGGCCGGCCGCCGCTATCCCGACATCCGGCATGTGCGTTTCAGAGAGTTCACCCAATAAAGGTCCGAAAGCTCGCTCAGAGGACGGAGGAGGAGGACGAGGAGGAAGGGCGGGGAACGGCGGGGAACGGCGGCGGTGCCGCTGCCCTCAACCGGCCCCGGCGCGCCCGGGCCGCGGCTCCCTCAGGGCTGGCCGAGGGGCGGGGCTTCCCCTCAGGAGCGCGGGCAGGGGGCGTGGCCTCCCCATCGGGGTGGGGGCGTGGCTTCTGTGGTCACGTGACGCTGCCTCCTCTCCCGCATTGCGCCTGCCGCCGGTGTCCCGCCCCTGCCGGTCGGCGGAAGCGCGGTGACGCACTACCGGCGGGCTCGGGGCCGACATGGCGGGCGAGGTGCTGGGCAGGACGGCGGCGCTGGTGCTCGGTGAGGGCCCGCGGCGGGAGGGAGCCAGCCGGGCTCCCAGGGACCTTTCGGACCGGCTCGGGACCGTTCGGAGCCGCTCGGGTCCTTTCGGAGCCGCTCGGACCGGCTCGGTTCCTTTCGGAGCGCTTCGGGAAGCTTCGGCTCGGCTCGGCTCGGTTGGGCAGCGCGCTCCTCGGCCCGGGGAGAAGATGGCGGCCGGTTGTGGCCCGCGGAGCTCGGTGGTAGCGGGGCTGCGGCCTTAGGGCGGCAGGGACGGAGCGGGGGCAGGCCCGGGGGCGGCTCGGGAACGGGGGGGGGAGGTGGGCAGCGGAGGAGGCCTTAAAGCTGCTTCCCCGAGCCCTGTGGTGGGGTCAGGCCCGCAGGCCGTGGCCAGGCCCCGTCCACACTGTGCCCAGGTGGCTGCTGTGGGAGGTTATCAGCAAGATAAGCACGAAGGCTGAACGCCCGTGTGTGTATGTGTGTGTGTGTATGTGTGTGTGTGTGTGTGTGTGTGTATGTATGTGTGTGTGTATATATGTGTGTGTATGTATGTGTGTGTGTGTGTATGTATGTGTGTGTGCCCAGCTCTTCCTCCTGCTAACGGGGCCTGCTCCCCGCCTTTGCCCCTCTTCCAGAGGAGCTCTATGTTTCCGACCGAGAAGGCAACGATTCCAGTGGGGATGGGACCCAGAAGAAGCCCTTCAAGACCGTTCTGAAGGTAACGCCTTCTGCGGGAGGCCTTGAGGGCACGTGGGTTTGTGGGTCTGGTTTGGCCGCTGCAGAAGGGTGGGGAGCAGGATGCGCGCTTGGGGATGCCTCCAGGTCGTTAATGGTGCTGCTCCCCCCTCGCCAGGCCTTGCTGACAGCAGGGAAGGAGCCGTTCCCCACTATCTACGTGGACTCGCAGAAGGAACACGAGGTGCCGTAGAGCTTCCAGGAGGAATTCCATCAGTGCCCCCGGGCGGGACGCGGCTCCAATGCCTTGTCTTGGTTTAATGCAGAGATGGGCCATCATATCCAAGTCGCAGATGAAGAACGGCAAGAAGCTGTGGCACAGGGAGCAGATGAAGAACGAAGCAAAGGAGAAGAAGGAGGTGGGTTGCCCCGCTGGGAAGCACAGCCCCTTCTTCCCCAGCCCCGTTACGCGCTGGTGCTGCCATTCCCGGCCCCAAACAGCTTCGTCTGGGCCACGTTTTCCACCGTGGTTACTCAGAGCTTGGCTTTGCTTAGGTTAGGACAAGGCAGAGTTGAGGAACTGCAGGTGAGGAATGAAGCTGTGCTTTCATTCCCAGCATGAGCGTGAATTAGGGCAGCTTCAGCTCTTGGGCACCCGTGTACGTGGTAATCTGCAGTCCAAGGAGTGGGAATGAGCCCAAGCCTGTTGAATACATCTCGTTCCCTTGTCCTGCAGGCAGAAGATCTCTTGAGGAGGGAGAAGAACCTGGAGGAGGCCAAGAAGGTTGTGATCAAGAACGACCCGAGGCTTCCGGAGCCAAAATGTGTGAGTAAGAGCCAGTGGGCTCGATGCACGGCCTGGTTTGGCTGCTCTGGGGCTTCAAGGCCTTCTTACCAGCCCTAAACACGCCTTTGGTTTCTGGCTGTAGTGCACAGGCTTTAGGTCGCACGCAGCATGAGCTGCTTTAAAAGCTCTTCCGGTCCTTAGCTTCTCCACAGTGAGCAGGAAGGACCCGGGGTGAAGCCTGGGAATGCTGCCCCAGCTTACTGCCTTTCCTGGCTAAACGACTCTTCCCTTGCTCAGCTGTTGAGTGTCGGAGCTGTGCTTCCACCCGGGATGGAATTCAGCTTCAGGGGGAGGAAGGTGCCGCGTAATTGCATGGTGAGCGCTGTCCCGGAGGTGAATCACCTCTCCCCTCGCCTCCATTCCCTGTTCCCAGGTGAAGATTGCTGCTCTGGAGGCTTACAGAGGCCAGAGGGTGAAGGTGTTTGGTTGGATTCACCGCCTGAGGAGGCAGGGTAAGCGTGGGCCTTGGGGTGTGAGGGGATGGAGCGTGCTCGGGGTTCGGACACGGACTGGGACAGCGCTTACCTTTAAACCCACCCTGCAAGCTGAGGAGTCAAACAGCACAGTTGGAAGCTTAAAGGTGTGGAAAGAAGCACCACGAAGGCTTTTCTCCTTGTCTCCCGACTAGGAAAGAACCTGATGTTCGTTGTGTTGAGGGATGGCACTGGTTTCCTGCAGTGTGTCCTGTCGGATGAGCTGGTGAGTTGGGATGCCTTCGTCCCGTCGTTAAGCGAAGTGCTCATCCCTGTCCTTTTCCCTCTCATTGGAAGCCCCAAACCCTCTGATTCAAGTTGTGGGGTTGCCCAAGACCCCTCTTGTGGGAAGGAGATGCAAGTGCCAACGGGAGAGCTGCTTACAAGTAGGAGGGAGCTCCAATCCGTGTCACCCCAAGCCCAGACCCGACCTTCCCTTTGCCTCCTGTCTCTCCGCAGTGCCAGTGTTACAACGGGCTGGTTCTCTCCACGGAGAGCAGCGTCGCGGTGTACGGAACGCTGAACCTCCTTCCCCAAGGGAAGCAGGTATGGGATCGCTCTCGCAGGAGCCCAAGGCGCTTGGAGAATGAGGAAGTCTTCTCGGAGAGGGGAGGACTCCTCACCCTGGGGTTGTAGTAAGGCTTTTAGTGCCAGCCTCTTGTGTTTTAGCACCAAGCTACCTCTCCCAGCCAGGAGTAGCTCCCAGTGGAGGTGGCCCCAGGGTGGTTTTGGTTGGGAGGCACCTCTGAGGGCCCTCAGGAAGGGTCCCTTCTCTTCCTGAAGATCTGATGTGAGGGCTTGTCCGGCTGTGTTCCTGCCGGCTCCGAGGATGGGGCCTGCAGTGTGGTCCTGGTGTTACCACCTCCTCCGTAGCCGCCCGTTGAGCGGCTGAAGGGAGTCAGTCCCCTCACGGCGGGCCGCCAGCGGGCCTGTGTTGTACACTGGGGTGACGCTGTGGTTAGGGTGACGTCTGCACCGCGCCGCCAGGGCCGAAGGGGAGGCCTCTGAGGCGTTTCCTCTTGCCCTCGGCAGGCTCCAGGAGGCCACGAGCTCAGCTGTGACTACTGGGAGCTCATCGGCCTGGCCCCGGCGGGAGGAGCTGACAACGTGCTCAACGAGGACTCGGAGGTGGACGTGCAGCTCAACAACAGGCACATGATGATCCGAGGCGAGAACATGGCCAAGATCTTCAAGGTGCGCTCCACGGTGGTGCAGGCCTTCAGGGACCACTTCTTTGCCAACGGTTATTACGAGGTGAGTGGCAGGAGCTCGCTGCTTCCGTGTCCTCCCTCCCGTGGCGGTTTCCTTACGGAGACCTCGTCCTCGCCCTTCCTCCTTCGGTGTCGTTCTCCACCAGGTCACGCCACCAACCCTGGTGCAGACCCAGGTGGAGGGGGGCTCCACCCTCTTCAAGCTGGATTACTTTGGGGAAGAGGCCTACCTGACGCAGTCCTCGCAGCTCTACCTGGAGACCTGCGTCCCGGCCCTGGGGGACGTGTTCTGCATCGCGCAGTCCTACAGAGCGGAGCAGTCCCGCACCCGCAGGCACCTGGCAGAGTAAGGAGGGAGGAAGGAGCCTGCTTTGCTGGGGGGGGAGGAGGGAGGTTGTAAAGCGGGGCGGGGTGGGGGGGAGCAGGGGGTTGATGTGCCACAGCCCGACGTGGGAGGAGTGTTTGGGGTGAGACCTTGTCTTGGTGGGCGTCAGGGGCCATTGAGCTAAGTAGAGGTTGCTCCTGGGTGGCTCTCTGACGGTGCCTGTGTGTTTCAGGTACACCCACATCGAAGCCGAATGTCCCTTCATCAGCTTCGAGGAGCTGTTGGACCGGCTGGAGAGCCTGGTGTGTGATGTGGTGGACAGGGTCTTGAAGTCGCCTGCGGCGGGTTTGCTCTATGACCTGAACCCGGTACGTAGGGACAGGCAGCAATGGCAAGGGAGATAGGAGCTTTAGCTCTTCCTGATGGGAATGTTTGGGAAAGCAGGGAGCTCTAACACTATGAAGTCACATCACAGACTGGGTTGGGTTGGAAGGGAGCTTAAAGCTCCCCGTCTTCCAGCGCACATGGAAAGCACTAACCCACCGACTCCTCCAGGGGCAGGGGAAGAAGTTCCCTGCATAGCAAGCTCCAGGAGCCAGGAAAACACTGGGGTTTAATATGGAATCAAAGCCTCTATCGCAGAGCTTGTACTGGTGATGGGCTGGGGCGGTGACAAGCGGTGATTCACTTCTTCCCCCAGAAGGTGGAGCTCTGAAGTGCTTTCACTGCGCACAGAGCCTTTGTCCTCCGCTGCCTTTGAGGAGATGTGTTCCTCCTGAGCTTGATGGATGTAGTTACTCGGGAGTAACCTGTGGGCACATGAGCTGCCGAGAGCGGCGTCTGTGCCTCAAGCCTGCCGGGACCGTGCCAGTCACCCGGAGGAGTGGTGTTCTCCCCGGATTCCCACTGGTTTTCCCTGCTCCTCCTCAGGGTTTCCAGCCCCCGAAGCGCCCTTTCCGCCGGATGAACTACAGCGAAGCCATCGAGTGGCTCAAGGAGCACGATGTCAAGAAGGAAGATGGCACGCACTATGAGTTTGGAGAAGTAAGGCTGGCTGAGGCTCTTCACGCGCTCATCCCCACCAAACTCCCGCTGCCCTTTGCTGTTTGCCCTCTTTGCTGGTGCTGGTTTCAAAGATGATGGAGGGAAAGGTCTTCAAGCTGCACCCCACGGCAGGTTGCAGAGGGAGCGCTCAAACTGCTTGAGGTTTGAGGAGGAAGGCAGATTGGGCTCTTCTGCTTTGGGAAGCCAGGGGTCAGGTTGGGTTTTCCTCAGTTTTCTGCCTGCCCCATGGGGAAGGGACGATTGGTTGCTCCTGGGTCAGGTTATGGGTACGTGTGGCCTTGGTGTCACGCTGGGCTCCGGGCGCTCGGCTTTACGTAGCGCCGAGTCCTCCTTTCTCGCCAGGACATTCCCGAAGCTCCCGAGAGGCTGATGACGGACGCCATCAATGAGCCCATCTTGCTGTGCCGATTCCCTGCCGAGATCAAGTCCTTCTACATGCAGCGCTGCCAGGACGATCCCCGCCTCACCGAGTCCGTAAGTAGGGCTTCCCAATCCCGCCGGGGGGCGGGCCCCAGAGGGTTGCTCCCAGCCCCTCGGTGCGCTTGGATCCGCTCTAGGTGGACGTGTTGATGCCGAACGTGGGGGAGATCGTCGGGGGCTCCATGCGCATCTGGGACAGCGAGGAGCTGCTCGAGGGCTACAAGAGGGAGGGCATCGACCCCACGCCGTACTACTGGTACACGGATCAGGTCCGTAGCACCACCTCCCTCTGCTCCTTGGTGGGATCCTGGGCTTTAAAGCGCTCTTAGGGACAGGCAGTGTTGGGACGGGGCTTGGAAGGTGGCGCTGAGGGGTGGAACCGGAGGAGCTTTCAGGCCCCTGCCAGCCTCTCCAGTGGTGCAGCCAAAATCGGAAACCTGTTTGAGGTTGGCCCCGAGGAATTCGGCCGGGGCCAAAACGCAGTGGGGAAGCGGTTCCTGTGCGGTCACACCGTTGCTGGAGCCGCCCGTGGGGATGCCTTCCTCTCGCGGGGTCTCCTGCGATGGGGTGGGTTAGGTGAGGAGAGGTTGACAGGGAAGCACTCGGCCTTTCCCTTCCCTTTCCTCATAGTCCTCACGGCGGGGAAAGTGAGGGCAAGCAGCCACAGGCATCCCACCTGCAGGGAGCAGAATCCATCTCCCTCCTCGCCCCAAAACTCCCGGAACGGTTTAGGGCCCTTTTCCTGCTCTTGTTGGTGCTGGGCCAGCATAAACGGGATGCCCGGGATTCCCATCTCCTCTTTGCTTTGCATGGCCCAGAGGAAGTACGGGACCTGCCCTCACGGCGGCTACGGCTTGGGCTTGGAGCGCTTCCTCACCTGGATCCTCAAGAGGCACCACATCAGGGATGTCTGCCTGTACCCCCGCTTCGTCCAGCGCTGCAAACCCTAGGGCTGCAGCTCCTAGGAAAAGGAGGATCCCTTGGGAGAACGGGACTTGTGCTCCTCCAAGGAAAGGGAAGGAAAGGAAAATCAACCCCTCTTTGCATGGAAAACACTCCTCCTGGACCGGAAGAGAAGCGTGGATGTGTCTTGGGCCGAGCTCCAGCCCTGTCCCTCCTCGGGAATATGCTCCTCCGTTGGATTTGTGGGGCTCGGAGGGATTGGGGCTGGGTGCTCTTGGTGCTTTTGATTCCATTTGAGTGGGGCAGCTTGCTTTGAATTCCCTAGGAAGGGGAGGAAGGAGGCAGTGAAGTAGGAATAGTGGAGCCGAGCAGCATTCCTGGTTTTCATGGAAGCTCCGCTCGAGTGGGATCCAGCCCAGAATTCCAGTGCAAGAGGTGTGGGTTGGATTTTCCTTGCGTTTCCCTGATTATTTATTGGTGAGGAGGGATGAGGCTGGGGGGGGGGGGGGGGGGTGTTGCTGCTTATCCCTTTTCCCTGGGGCTGAAGGACCCGTATCTGTGTCGGAGCTTGGATCCTGATGGATACAGGAGCAGCGTGCTGCCCTCCAATCCCAGTTCCCCCTCTCCCAAAGGAGCTGGGCCCTTAGCAGTCCAGTTGGCTGTGGGCTCCTGCCTCTCCTCGCCAGGTGAAGCCTGGCTTCCTTGTGGAGCAATTCCGCCTTTCCCAGCTGCACCCCACCGGTTTCTCGGGCCGGAGCCCCGTTATGGGATAGGGTTAAGTGCGTGCTCAGTGCGTGGGGCCGCTTTCCCCCTCCTGCATGTCCCCTATGAGCCCCCAATAAAGGATGCTCCCTGCAGCCGCGCCGCGGGCCCTGCCTCTCCCTGCCGAGCGCGGAATGCCCCCGCCGTGTCCGCCATGGGCACGGACCCCTCCCTCCCTCCCGCCGTGGCGGAGGGCGCCTGGGAGCCCAGGGCCACCCCCGCTGCCCTCGCCCGGCCCAAACCCGTTCCCGTTCTCCCATCCCTTATCCCAACCCCCCCCACCCGGAGCCCCTTCAGGACCCTGGGGTCGATGTCTCCCCTCCGCCCCCTCAGCGCTGCCGGTGCCCCTCGGTCCCGGCCCCGCCCGGCCCCGGCCCCGTCCCCGCCCCGCGGCCGGGCAGGGAGGGAGGCGCGGGGCCGGGCCCGGAGCGTCTGAGGGAATGCGGGCGGCCAACATGGCGGCGGCCGCGGGCCGGGCCGCGCGTCCCGGTGAGCGCGGGGGGCCTGGAGCGGGGCCTGGGGGCGGCGGCGGGCGGGGAGCGGGCTCCGGGCTCCGGGGGGGGGGGCGGCGGCGGCGGCGGGTCCCGGTTACACAACGGAGCGGGGCCTTTCGTAACGGGGGGGGGGGGAACGGCGCTGGGGCCTCCGGCTGCCCTCGGTGCCCCTCCCGCTCCCGGTGTGCGCGGTGCGGAGCGCCCCGGGGACCCGCTCTGTGCTCGGGCCCGGGGCAGAGCCATTCCCGTCGGGCGCTCCGAGCCGCTGCCGTCGGTGCTGCGCGGGACGGACGCGTCCCGGCGTGTCCGGGCGCTGATGTCCCGTTGGAACGGAAGGAAACGGCGCATCCCGGCGTGCCCGGGCGCTGATGTCCCGTTCCAACGGAAGGAAACGGCGCATCCCGGCGTGCCCGGGCGCTGATGTCCCGTTGGAGCGGAAGGAAACGGCGCGTCCCGGCGTGCCCGGGCTCCGATGTCCCGTTGGAACGGAAGGAAACGGCGCGTCCCGGCGTGCCCGGGCGCTGATGTCCCGTTGGAGCGGAAGGAAACGGCGCGTCCCGGCGTGCCCGGGCTCCGATGTCCCGTTGGAACGGAAGGAAACGGCGCATCCCGGCGTGCCCGGGCGCTGATGTCCCGTTCCAACGGAAGGAAACGGCGCATCCCGGCGTGCCCGGGCGCTGATGTCCCGTTCCAACGGAAGGAAACGGCGCTGAAACCGCGGCGGCGTCCGGGCAGAAGCCGCGCTGAGCGCAGGCAAAGGCTTCCCGGAGTTTAAACGCCCAAGGATCGCTTAGAGCTTCTGTTCGGGTCGAGGTGTTGGCGGGGGGTAGCCTGGAGAAGGCTCCTCAGCCCCAGCCGTGCTCATCCCGCTATAGGGGTGCTGTAGGGGTGGTGTAGGGATGCTATAGGGGTGCTATAGTGATGCTGTAGGGGTGCTACAGTGATGCTGTAGGGATGCTATAGTGATGTTATAGGCTTGCTATAGTGATGGTATAGGGATGCTGTAGGAATGCTGTAGAGATGCTGTAGGGATGCTACAATGATGCTATAGGGATGCTGTAGGGATACTATAGGGATGCTGTAGAGATGTTTTAGGGATGCTATAGGGATGCTGTGGGAATGCTATAATGATGTTATAGGGATGCTGTAGGGATGTTATAATGATGCTGTAGGGATGCTATAATGATGCTGTAGGGATGCTATAAGGATGCTGTAAGGGATGCTATAGGGATGCTATAAGGATGCTACAGGGGTGCTATAAGGATGCTATAAGGGTGCTATAGGGGTGCTGTAGGGATGCTTTACAGGTGCTAATAGGGATGCTATAAGGGTGCTGTAAGGGATGCTATAAGGATGCTATAGGGGTGCTATAAGGATGCTATACGGGTGCTATAGGGATGCTGTAGGGATGCTTTGCCTGCCTGCAGCCCCCCAGGTGTCCTCCGAGGAGTTCCCTTCCTTGCCGCGGTGTGGGAGCCCTCCCTGGTGCCCTTGGCCTTGGCACCTTAAGCCGGAAGGTCGGGCTGGGTTTGGGTGCGCAGAGGGAGGCCGGAGCTTCCCGTTCCTTCCCTGCCGTGGATTCCAGGCGGGGCGCGGGGTGCTCACGGGGCTCTCCCCTCTCTCGCAGTGCTGCAGGGCAGCAGCCAGCTGAGGCTCCCGCTGCGATGGAGGGCTCAGGCCGCCGCCGCCGCCGTGACAGCCAGCGCCCAGCCCCGCACGCAGCCGCAGTGAGTGGGGCCTGGGGGGGTGCCCTGGGGCTCACTGTGGGGCCTGGGGGGCTGTGAGCCGAAGGAAGGCCTGGGGCAGGGCAATAGGACGAACACTGGGCTCTTAGTGCAGGCTGCTTTGGCTTGGGAAGGACCCCAAAGCTCATCCCGTTCCGATAGGGATGGGCAGGGGTTCTCAGACCCTGTTTTAGAGCCTCCCGTACCGCCTTGTTCACGTTCTCAGCCTGTTCCCAGTTCAACTCCGTCCCAAAGCGGTTCCTTTCCATAGCGAATGCTCGTCCTGGGCCTGCTTGTGCTTGCAGCTCCTCTTTCCCCATGAGCAGGATGAGCTTGTAAGCAGGAAGCTGCTTGGGCAAAGGGCCTGGCGCAGAAGGCTCGGCTGATCTGGGAAGGACGACGCTCCTCAAGCAGCAGCTCAGTGGCATTGGGACTGCCTCTTGCTCCCATAGGAAGCCCAAGACGGGAATCCTGATGCTGAACATGGGCGGTCCGGAGCGCCTGGATGATGTCCATGACTTCCTGCTTCGCCTCTTCCTGGACACAGACCTCATGACGCTGCCAGCCCAGAGGTAAGGCTCTCCTCGTCGCTGGCGGCTCCGTGGGGAGCAAGGTGGCTCGGCAGCGCGAGGCACGGTGCTCCGTGGCCGGGGATCGCCCTCTCCTCCTGCAAGCCCCGGTCTCCCACCGCCAAGGAAGCTGGGGAGGGTGGAAGCTAGCACGGGTGGAACCCCGTGGGTCGGGGAGGTGGGGGCCGAGGTGATGCTTTGGTGCTGATGGGGCTCCGTGCCCCTCTGCCCGCTGCAGCAAGCTGGCCCCCTTCATCGCCAAGCGCCGCACGCCCAAGGTGCAGGAGCAGTACAGCAGGATCGGAGGCGGGTCCCCCATCAAGAAGTGGACGGCCCTGCAAGGGGAAGGCATGGTGAAGCTGCTGGACAGCATGTCTCCTCGCACCGGTACTGCGCCTTGTTGCGGGGGAGCAGGGGCAGCGCCCGGCTTCCCTTGTCGTGGTTGGGGGGGGAGCCGGGCTGGGAGCACGAGGGTCCTCTTGGTCCAGACGATGCTGATGGCACCGTCTCGATGGGATCCCCCTGCGTGGCTGGGATGCGGATGTGGCCGAGCTCGAAGCCCGAGCCTGAAGAATGGGTGGCCATGGGAGCGTGACTGTTGTCCTGGGTGCATCCCGGCCTTCCGGAGCTGCGGATAAGGGCTGGAAGAGCGCGCGGGGCTGGGGCCTGGGAGCAGGGGGAAGAGGGGGTGGCTTGGCAGAAGAGACAAGGGCCGCAGGTGAACGTGGCAGGGCTTGGCTGGCTGATAGGAGGCAGCTGCACCCAGCGCAGGAGCAGGAGATAAGGCCTCCGCGTGGCTTGCTGCACTGCCGGCCAAGAGATGTAGGGACGGGACAAGGGGGATGGCTCCCAGGTGCCAGAGGGGCCACTGAGATGGGATATAGGCAAGGAGCTCTTCCCCACGGGAGCGGGGTCACCCTGCAGTGGGTTGAAGCTGGGGCTGCCCCATCCCTGGCGCTGGGAGCAGGCTGCTCCGCTGGGAGCTGTCCCTGATGGAGCTGGGTGAGCTTTGAGCTCCCGTCAACCCGGAGCATCCTTGGAGCCTGGGACAGGCAGGAGGAGCCTCTGGATGCCCGCGGAGGGCAGGGGCCACGGTGCCATCACCAAACCCCCCCCACACCCCATGCGTGGTGCCCCCGGGAGCAGCGGGCATGCAGGGGAGCGCCCGCGGTGCCGCGTGCCCTGCACCCAGCGCCTGCTGCGACGGGAGCGTGGTACCGGAGCTAAGGGACCCCTTCCTTCGCGCCCTGTGAGGGGGTCAGCAGCACCCTTGTGGCTGCGGCCTCAGCCTTGGCCCGGAGGAGAGGAGCTCCAAAGGCCCTAGGGGCTGCCGGGGGCTCCCAAGATAAAGCTTGGCCCCTTTATCTGCTCCTGCGTTCGGGGCCCTCCCGCCCAGCCCCGGGCAGCTCCTGCCCCTGATAAGTCCTCCGGGGGCCTCCTCTTGGCCGGGTGGTGGGGATAAGCCTTGGAGCGCGTGGCACAGAGGAGGGGCTGTGCC